ATCAATCATATCCCCCCACCCCACCCCACCCCTCTATCACAGATCCGTCATGTCTCCGATGCTCAGCGGCAGCAAGCTGAGACTCATGAGCGCGTGCATCGACCGCTGCTCCTCCCGACTGGCCGAGCATCTGGTCAAAGCCACGGCCGGCGGTCAGCCCGTGGACATCAAGCGCCTCACTCAAGCCTTCGGCCTAGACACCATCGCCGGGACAGGCTTCAGCATCGACACGGATGCACTCGTTGACCTCGACACTCCGCTGGTGCGCCACGCCAGGTCGCTCTTCAGAACAGGACCCTACATCGCATACTTTTACTTCATGGCGGCGCTGTTCCCTGCGTTGACGCGACCCATTTTCAAAATGTTCAACATCGGGTTCTTCAAACAGGAAGATTTATTATTTTTCGAAACCGCGGTGGGGCAGATGATTAAAGACCGTCACAGCGCGAAGGAGAGGAATACGGATTTTCTGCAGCTTTTGGTAGATGCGGAAGTTGATGAGGAGGAACTCTTGCACGGCGAAGGGAAAAAACTGAGCACAGAAGAGATTGTTGCTCAGTGTTTGATTGTTTATATCGCTGGCTTCGAGACGACCAGCAGCTCGCTTCAGTTTGTGCTGTATCTTCTGGCGAAAAATCAGGACGTTCAAACCAAGTTGTTGGAAGAAGTCGATCAGTTGGTTAACGATCTCGACGGAACATCATTGAGCTATGAGCATTGCAACCAACTTACCTACATGAATATGGTGATCAAAGAAGCTCTTCGACTCTACCCACCGTCCTCACTGATCTTCAGGCTCGCTGAAAAAGACACAACCGTCAAAGGAATACCAGTGCCCGCCAAAGCTGGGATATGGATTCCTGTCCACGTCATCAGCAGAGACCCAGAATTTTTTGAAGAGCCGGACAAATTTGACCCGTCGCGTTTTGAAGAAAATTCGGACTTGACTCTGAAGCATAATGTGGGAACTCGTATGCTCACCTGGCTCCCTTTTGGCGCGGGACCACGTCATTGTGTGGGGATGAGGCTGGCCGTTCTAGAGCTCAAGATGGCCTTGGTGAGGATACTGAGCGTGGCGAGAGCGAGCCACGCCCTACCAGATGTCCTTGTGGTCAATGACGTCACTTCCTTGCTGCAGCCGACAGAGCCGATTCTCATACAGTTTGAGAAGAGGGAGAGATCTGTTTAGGTTACAAGAAGACAATAAATGAAAGAGGACTTGATACTTTCTTAGTTAACTAAACGACTGAAGTTTGATGAAATAATATTGCTTCTATCTGACAAGGGCATATCTGGTGCTGTATGCGTTGAGAGCGACATTAAACAAGACTCAGAAAATTTGGAGATTATCTTTCAAAAAATAATCAAAATTTGGTAGCCAATGTTGTCCTTTTTATTTCATCAGCATAATATTTGCGATATTCTGGATACACAGTCTATCACGCACTCAAAGAACACACACATATCGTACCACGTTTATAGCGAATAGATTTTTTCGGTCGTTAATTGTCTCTTGTGTATATTCTTTATAGAATTCGTACATAGCAACGTTTTGACATAACGAAAAGATTTCGCGTCCCGCCGATTTCTTTATGTGCCAGATAGACTGTACATTAAATTGGTCACTTTTAAGGACCAGCGGGCTAACTCGTATTTTTTTTTTTTT